CGCCGCTCCGACTTCGACTGCGGCATCACATCGCTGCGCGGTCGGCGCGGCCATCGAGGGGCGACGAAGCCGCGCTGCCGATGCGAGCGCTTCAACGGCGACGCCGGAGGCGTGGAGCTTCATCTTCAGCGTTTACTCAAAGACCGTCGTCGGCTACATCTACATGCGCGCCGCGGACCTGCCCGGCACGCCCGCCGACTTGGCGGACTCGTTCACTTCTGCAGGAAGCCGCGTGGTCATGTCGGAGCGCGCGACGCCCGTGATCTACCGCGTCTGAGTGGCGGCCGCGGTTGACTCTGCTGGGCACGTCGCGAGAGCGTTGCGATCGTTTCTCCGGCCGCAGTCATTGCGGTGGCTGCGCCTGCCTGCCCGCTGCTTGCTGCTGCCGCTTCAGGGCCACCTGCTGCCGCCGCTCCTGAGGGGGGGGGGAAGGGCGGAGAGGGGGGGGGCGATGCGACGGTCGGCCATGCTCCTGTCTCTTCCTGCTACGTTCGCATGCTACTCCATGCTGTCTCCTCGCCATTCCCTCTGTTCATATGAGTTATTTCAGTGTTTGCTGTCATTGTTTTCCTCCTGCTCTACGCTCTCCCATGTGATTCCATATCGCCGTTCCTCTCTCTCTCTCTCTCTCTCTCTCTCTCTCTCTCTCTCCCCTGTTTCATTGCGGACAATACTGTTCCATTCTACTCCACCCCACCTTCGCTGATTTCAATCGGAACCAGCGCAGTTCCTCTAGGCGCAATTGGCCAGTGCCGCGCAGGGCGCTGGCGGCGTCGTGGACGCCCCCGTCGTCGACGCCACGTGTTCAGCTGCATCTGATCAAGGATTGCTGCCGGGGTAGCATCTGCCCCCCCCCCCCCCCCCCATCTCGATCACATGATCGCCGCGGCGGCCGCGGCGCCGCATGTGCCCGCGGAGGCGCAGCTCCTGCAGCTGCAGATGGAGCAGGGCGTTGATTTCCTTGCCTTCCTCAAGACATCTGGACGTAACGGGAAATTGAAACGGGGTTTCCACGGGGTGGGGCCCCAGGGGGCTCTGTATTGCGTGCCGGCGGGGTGGGCGGTGATCAGAACTCAGAAACATTGTCGCTGGCAGCGTCACTCCCCCCGCCCTCCTGAGAATTTGGGGGTCGAGCATTCAGTGCTCCGTCGGTTGGCGCGCCCTTCCTCGGGAGGCGTCAACCTTGCGCTGGCGCCGACTCTGCCCAGATCGCGGCCCGCGGGTCGGCTTGGGCAGAGTCGGCGTGCTGCGCGCGCGCGTAGTTGGCGCCTCCATTGCGACTGTCCGCGTCAGAGGACGCGAGCGTTCCCTGGAGAACCAGGCGTTGGTTGCCCTGGCCAGCGGTCGATCCACATACGCCCGCGGCTTAGATCCGCCAGGCCGGCGGATTGACAGAGCGCGGGCGGCTACTTTCGATTCGATATGGTTGCGCTCGGTGTCTGATACGCTTGCGCATCGGCAAGCCGATGGGTGGGTTTCTCCACGGTCGCCGTCTGCACCCACTCGCCAAGTTCCCCAAGTCCAGGGAGGTCTTGCCCCACACGGACGGGGCGAGAGCGTGCAAAATTAAGATGGGCGGCATCTTGCACGACAACGTGGTCCACCAGAAGAAGCGCGTTGTGATCAAGGGCGAGGCTGCGTGGATCAAGCCCAGCTTCACCATGGTCGTCAATCGTTGCATCCCTGACAAGGGTGACCTCTACGTGAAGGCTGGCGCGCAGATCATCGACCGCGCCTGGCGGCGCCTGCGCGTATGTTTGGAGGGCGTGACGGCCGCGGTCGGGTCTGACATGCTGCGCCATCGGGTGAGGTCCGCCCAGTGGGCCTACTGGATGCGGGGTCGCGATTTGTGGCAGGCCGCAGGGGGCATGATCTCGAAGCTCGTGTGATAGGTGCTGCGCTGCAGCACGCGGGGAGCTATTCGGGGGCCCTGGGTCTTTCGATTCGCGCGAGTTGCGCCGCGGGCAGTCCATGCAGAGGGCTGCCAGTGCGATAATATATGCACTTGGGGAGTGTGCAAGGTGTCTCTTCGGCTTCAGAATGAAAAAGATGATTGTCCCATCTCTCTCTCTCTCTCTCTCTCTCTCTCTTTTTTTTTTTTTTTTTTTTTTTTTGTTTTTCTCTCTCTCTCTCTCTCTCTCTCTCTCTGTCTCTCTTTTTTCTCGCTCTGTCTTCTACTTTTCCCCATTAAGACGGGGTCCCCGTGTGGGTGTGTGTGTGGTGGTGGTGGTGGTGGTGGGGGGGGGGGGGGGACTAGCGCATGTGTGTATGTACATGTATATGTATATATATGTACATATTCATATATACATGTATAGGTATATATGTACATTCTCCACATATCGGAGGTTGATCGACCTCCTACTCTGACATCGTCGGTTCAGGAATTGGCCGTTTTCGGTTCGCGAGGGGGCGTCACGGCCGTCATTGTTGCGGGCCCAGGTCCGTCGGTTTCGGTCCCATGCCGTTTCCGCGAAAAAGGGAGGTTTACTAAACAGATGTTTGTTCACCGCCGAATGTATATCTGTATTTTCTCCAAATAGCGTTGCCCTGATGGAGTCTTATAGCTCATCATAAGTAGTTGGTCTTTAGGACCCCCCGCTTTGGCACCCCCCTTCCCCCCCCCCTTTTTCCAATGCCCCCCTACTTTAATAACACCCCCCCAGCTATTTCAAATAGCATCCTGCTCTTGCGTGCTTGCTTTCGCTTGCTTGCTCTTGCTTGCCCTTGCTTTCTTGCACTTGATCGCTGGCTCTTGCTTGCTTGTTATTGATCGCTTGCGCTTGCTTGCTTCCGCTTGCTCGCTTGCGCTTGTCTGATGTGGCTCCTCCCGTCCTCCTTTCGTCCTCCCATCCTCCCCTCGTCCTCTTCCTGTCCTCATACCTATTTGGAGTCAGCGATGGCCCGGGTTTGCGAAGACCTGCGTTGCACTTTTCTTCTGCAGCATGGCAGTTTTTGGGTTTCCTTCTGGCCCGGGTCTGGATTGACCCGGGCCAGAAGATCCCCGACCCCCTGCGGGAGGCGTGCAGTGCGGTCGGGCACGCCCCCCCACAGTCGGGTCGGGCCTGCCCTTCTACAGGGGGGAGTTTGGCATCGCTCGGACGTGTGTATTTTTTCTCACGGGGGATAATTCAGGAGCGTCCTGGATCATCCTGCAAAAAAAAAAAAAAACCACGCACGGAACCTAAAACACACAGGGAACGAACGTCCGAGCGACGGCGAGGGAGATTCTGAGACACTCGAAAATGTAGTCGGGGGACTATGTTTCGAGGATGTTTTGACCATTTTGTGTGTTTGTTTGGGGGTGTGTTGTATGTTGCGTCGGAAGTCCGCCTGTAGGGGGACACGGCCGACTTCATTTTAGACGAACAATGAGAAATTCTTCAGACATGGCAATGTTCAAAGCATGTTCCCCATCTGTTCTGACTACTTTTTGAATATTCCTCCTAGTTTACATGGGGGCCCACGCCAAGAAGCACCCTGCGTGCCTTCAGGGTGCCCTGGGTTTCTTGGGCTTCGGTGGATGTCATGGGAAGCGTGACGATCCCACACCAAACATCAATGGACGTCCTGGGATCTCGGGTTTGGGTTTCTCGTGGGAGGTTTCTTGTGGAGGGGCTCCTATTGTAATTTGGGCATGTCCCTTTGCAGGACAAACTTCCGACAAACGTAGCAACAAACATAGACTGGGGACGATGTTTTGACTATGTGCTGGGCTATGTTTCAGTATTTTGTCGGCAGTTGTCGCAGTCTTTTCCAATCCGCCTCTAGGAACCCCGCTGTGAGAGGTTCCCAAGCTGCGACTTTCCAAGGGTACCTTTGCATCCTCCCCTCCTGCCCGTCCTCGGCCACTTTCGCTGGCCGCGCCCCGCTCGGAAAGTGTCGGCATGGCCTTCCAAGGTGCTTGCATTCTTGTCGGGCATCCTTACTGTCAGTTTTGACTACACCCCTCGATGTCTGATTAGTGGGGCACAGTAGGCTCGTATCGTGTCGACGCGGCGGCGACCCCGCCGCGTACGTTCAATGCTGAACGCCGCCAATGGCCCAGAATCGGCCAATTGGAACGATGGGACGGTTGAAAATCAGCGCCGATCGTTCAGGGCTGAACGATCCACGCGGTGTCAGAAACCAACGCCGAGGTCACGACACGAACTTGCCGTATGCCTTCTTTCGGACGGTGCCAGGACGAGGCCAGAAAGTTCCAGAACGCTCGCAGAGTGTTTCGGAAAGCTCTGAGAAGGCCGCGGCGCCTGATACATCCTCCAGAGCCGCTGGATCTCAGAGGTTCTCGTTTTATCTTCACCCGATGTTATCCTTGTCCTGGACAGTCGACGGGCCAGACGGAGCCGAAGTGAACCAGAAGCCGAAGATTCGGAAACTCTTTTGTAAACCGCAGTCTTGTCTTAATCGTCATCTTACACTACGTTGCATCATCGGGGGGCATCGTTTGTCCCCCAAATTGGTGTCGTCTCTTGAGTCCGACGCGGGCTCGATGTGGACCCGATGCGGTTTTGACGTGGAGTTGACGCGGAGTCGACGTGGATTCGACGCGGATTCTACGAGTCTGGCATGGGTTCGACATTATGTTATTGATAATTAGTCTCACCCAGAGCGTTCCACTACTCGTTAAGTGCCTACTCGCAAACGTCCAACGAAAACACATGTCTTCCCGCATGTAATGGATCGTAGATCCCCCGCGGCGGCTCCAGGCCATTTGCGAGCAGTTACTTTGCGATTAGCGGAACGCGCTCGTCTATAGTCATCTTGCATCACAGCCGAGGCGCTGACACAAGAAACACTCTGGGTTCGGCAGTGGCTCGATGTTCCCGAGATCCTGTCATGGCTGTTTCTCTAGCGCTCCTCGTCCTCGATGGCGCCTGTGGGGCCAAAACTGGGCCTCGGTCCTGGATTTAGCGTTCCTGCTTTCGGCAGTCCCACTGTATTCCTTCCCCTTCTGCGGCCTCCCCCCCCCTGCGCGCGCGCGCGACCGCCGCCCCCAGGAGGCCTCGGCGGGCGCCGTCGCGGAGGCCGGTTCCACCGCGCCCTGGGGGCTCGCCGCGGGGATCGTCGTCGTCGTCGTCTTCGTCCTCGTCGCTGTCGTTGTCGTCGTCGTCCTCGTCGTTGTCCTCGTCCTCGTCGTCGTCGTCCTCGTCCTCGTCGTCGTCGTCTTCGTCCTCGTCGTCGTCCTCGTCGTTTTCGTCCTCGTCGTCGTCGTCGTCGACGTCGTCGTCGTCGTCACCGTCCTCGTCGTCGTCGACGTCGTCGTTGACGTCTTCGTCGTCGTCGTCGTCGTCGTCAACCTTGTCGTCGTCGTCGTCGTCGTCGTCATCGTTTTCGTCGTCGTCGCGGGGCTGCGGGGCGGGTCGGCCTGCGGGGCGGCGTGCGCGCGATTGCCGCGGCCCGCCGACCGCGTCCGCGACCCGCCCGTCGTCGTCGGCGTCGTCGTCTTCGTCGTCGTCGTCGTCGTCGTCGCTCCGCTCACCCTTGGTCGGGTGTTGCCAGAGATGCCCCTGGCCCAAGGTGCCCCCAGGATCTCCAGGGAGGCCCCCGCCACGGCCTCCGGAGCACCCCTCGCGAGGCCCACAGAGCACCAGGGGCCCCAGAATGGAGCGAAGGGGTGCGACGGGGAGGAGGAGGAGGAGGAGGAGGAGGAGGAGGAGGAGGAGGAGGAGGAGGAGGTGGAGGAGGAGGAGGTGGAGGAGGAGGAGGCGGAGGAGGGGGAGGAGGAGGAGGGCCCCTGGGGGCGCATTGGGCCAGGGGCACCTCTGGCCCCCCCCCCGACGCGGGGTCAAGAATGGTGCGAGACGGCCTGGGCGCATCCTTTTTGGTGGTCCCGCGGCCGCCTCGCATCGGATCTGGACTTCCCTCCCGCCTTCCCCTTCCTCCCCCTCCCCTCCCCCTCCCCCTCCCCCCCTCCCCTCCCTCCCTCCTCCTCCTCCTCCTCCTCCTCCTCCTCCCCTCCTCCTCCTCCTCCTCCTCCCCTCCTCCTCCTCCTCCTCCTCCTCCTCCTCCTCCATCCCTTCCTCGGATCGGCGCTGGGCTGCCTTCCCCTGGCGCGCCAGGATCGGCGCCGCAGGCGACGATGGGTTTTCCATCGCAATCCGCGCGGACATCCGGAAGGGATCTGTCTACGCGATGTGTGGTTCGCCTGGTGAAGGAGGGGTGCTGACGGAAACGGGCTCTGGACCCTTGCCGGGGTTTTGTCTTGGTGCTAAATTCTCACGGAGGATCGTTCTGTTGACAGTTCTGCATGGGGCATTTTCGGAGGGCCCTGGAGTCCAGGAAACGGCGGGACGGTTCGAGAATCTGTTGTTCCCCAGGAGCCGCTCAGTCTAGTCTCCGCGCGGCCCGCCGCCAGAACGAGGGGGCAACGACGAGGAGGGTGGCCAGGGTGAGAATTCGCCATCAAGGAAATGGGTTCTGAGGGAACGGGTTATTGAGTCTTTGCGCCACTCACGGGTTCCAGGGGCCCTGCCCGGATCCCACCCGAATGAAGAGATGGTCGTGTGAGCTCAGTTGTAGCAAGTTGCACAACAGCTGTGAACCTCTGCACAGTAGTTCCGATTGTAGCGATACAAACGTAATAACCGTACTCTCTTTCCCAAACTTGATCGAACAACCTGCAGAACTCGGTTTCTATAGTCAGGTGCAGCGTACCTAATTCGTTGGAAGAGATCGACCCAAAGGATCAAGCGTCATAGCCCTCCCAGACCCTCTTAGCAGTTATTTTTCAGCCACGCCCTCTTAAACAAGCCCGACGTTGACACAAATTTGCGAGCTCTCTGTGTCGGCTCACGTCTCAAGAGGCAAATCTTGAATCATAACCCCAACGAGGTCTTGAGCCCCACCTTGATAGAATCGTCGTTGAAGGCCCTTCCTTCTTTACCGGACACGTCCACCGTTTCCCTAATTTGTTGTAGCATTATTACATTTCTGCTTGTTTTTTTCCTGGTCCTTCTCCTCGTTCTTGAGTGCACGGATCATGGCCTAAGCATCGTGCAAATGGGTCCGAGTTCGAGCGGCTCATGGATTTTTGTTTGTTCGTTGAGGTCGAGTTCTTTCTTGTTCAGTGTGTTTCTCTCCGAGCTCATCGACGCGTCCCTCCCTCATGTTGCTCTCCGTGTCTGCCTCGTTCTTCATGCCCCCCATCACCCAGAACTCCCCTTGCTGATCCGCCACCTGCGTTCGGATCCTCCCCCTACCTCGCCCTCCCCCGCCTTTCTCTTTCTCCGTCGTTCGTTTCTACTAGGCAAGCTGCGATGCACACACCTGAAGCGTAAGTGAGCGGCGGCCGCGGCCGCCGCCAAGAAGAAAGCACGGAACCTTGTCGAAGTCGTTGCTGAATTCTTGGAGGCCTGCTGCAAGTCAGGCGGCTGGCCTCCCACCAAGATTCGTGGAATTGGCGGTTTCTCCGTCGTTCCTGCTCCTCCCCCCCTACCTCGGCCTCCCTACCTACCTCGCCCTCCGTCGGACCCCCACCCCCACCTCGCTCTCCCCGTCTTCTCTTTGTCCGTGGTTCCGGTTCCTCTTCCCCTCCTCGTCCGGGCGTATAACTACAAGGCACCCCCCCCACCAGGAAGGCGCCACGCCGCCCGGGCGTCACGGCATCACGCCGTCCGCAGGCATCACGGACAGGGATATCCACGATATACCTCATTGATGTTCAAAACTATTGTAGCTTTAATTGCCAGTAAGAATGTCGAGCACCGAGAAGAGTACCGAAACTCCAGAGTTTTCACGTGTCGGACCCTGGGAGGCGAGACTTTCGACACTGTTTCGATAGTTTTCTGGGTGCTCGACATTATTTTTGGGATGTAGTCCTTAAATACGATGGAAGCAACGTAGGATTAAACACGAACGTTCATCAAGAACACCAGGAAGGTGCACGAGAGAGCACACACCAACAGTAGGCACCGATAACGTACACATATAACCCACGCAAACAACAAACAGTTGTAGCACACACCAGCGGCAGGCATCCATAACATACTACACTAGCTGACACCAATATTAACCACGATCTACATAGTAAAATGAGTTTCAATACGAACAGACCAGATGCCACACGCACAGCATACACGAACACCATTTACCGACATCATCGGCATCACTCACGTAGATTAATGACATGGTGCAAGTGTATACGTCTAACACACGTCTAGCACACAACACTGCCAATCACCAAGGCTACGCATCAATACCACGCTGCGCGTACAGGCATCATCAACATACATCATCATACCAAGCTCCAAGGATGTATATTGCTAATTGGCACCACTGCTATAACTCAAGAAACCGAGCGCGACCCAAATCAGCGGCCATTTTTCTTTCCACGCAATTCAATCAAACCAGGTTCGAAAACCTTAGTACAATGCATTGCACAGTATTGTTTGGCATTGCTTGGCACTGCGTTTCAGTGTTTGGCACTGTCTGACGTGATTTGATATTGGTTGGAATCGGTGTTTGGCATTGCTTGGCACTGGCTTTGCTTTGCGCGGCACGCCTAGAGTTGCTTGCTACTGATGTGAGCTATTGCTTGACATCTCTTGGCATTGGCTGTTTATTGCTTGTCGTTGCTTGGCATTGCTTGGCGTTGCCCCATGTTGCTTCGAAACGGCTGTTGGTTCTGCTTGGCTTGACGCTTTTTGCCTTTGATTGACTGATTGGAGCCATCTCTTGGCATTGGCTTTTGAGTGTTTGGTGTTTCTTGGTATTGCTTGAACCCGTTGCTTGACATTCATTGGTAGTCCTTGTCGTTTGTTGGTGTTTTTCGGCATTACTTGGCTTGCTTGTCATTGCTGGACACTTCTTTGCATTTTTGGGCATTGCTTGGCAGCGGTTTGCTTTGCTTGGCATTGCTTGGCATTGCTCGACATAGTGTTGCCTTGCTGATCATTGGTTGGCATTGCTTGACGTTGCTTGGCATTTCTTGGTGTTGCTTGGCATTTCGTGGCACTGCTTCGCGTTGTACCGGCAACCCCGACGAACGCCTGGCACCCTGGGCAACCCCGGGGAACCCTCAGGAATGCTGACTGGGAAGGGCCCCGAACACACCAGGTTCTCCTACTAACGAGGAAGGGCCCCCAGGCAAACTCTTTGTTGGGGATCTCTCGAAGCACTTGTTCCTCCTCGATTCCTCGCCCCTCTTGCGCACCCCCTCCCCTCACCCGCGCCCGCCAGCGGCCCGCCGGACAGAGAACCTGGACGCTGTGGCCCCTCCGCCCGCACCTGGGGGCCGTCCCCGCGGTCCTGCGGCCGACGCCGCCGTCGTCGCAGCCGCCGCCGCCGTCCCAGCCATCCAGCGCCTCGAGACGTCGATGCGGCCAGTTGTTGTCGCCATGCAGTGCCAGCCCCGGGGAAGGGAAGGGGTCGAACAGTCCAGGGGGCCGCGCATGTCCGGGGCCTCCGACGTCTTCGCCGCCGGCGCCGTCGCCGCTGCCGTCGTCGACGCCGCCGCCGCCGTCGTCGGCGGCGGCGGCGTCGCAGGCCAGTCACAACTGGGGGAGCTGTGGTCCTTACCCCCCTGGGGGGCCCATCGATTTCGACGCCCCTCTCGAGAGATCGTCGAGGCGATGGGTTCCCCCAGGGGGGTGAGGACCACAGCTCCCCCAGTCGCGGCTGGTCGGCGTCGTCGCCGCCGTGGTCGATCGCCGATCGGGGCTCGACATCCAGGGCGTGGGCGGCCCGCTCGGGGCCTCCCATGGGGCGCCCTCGTCGCGACGGCCGGGGCCCCCCTCGGAGTGCTGGCCGGGGGGCGCTCTGGCACAGGTCTGCCAGGGGGGAGAAGCCACAGAGACACCAGGAATCGTCGGATTTTTAGGAACTGTGGGAAGGTGTGGGAAGTGGGGGAGAAGACGACCATTCAAGATGTTTTGACTTTTTGGGGGAGTCCTGGGATTTGTGTATTTATTTGTGGGTCCCGAGGCCCCTTCAGTGTGGGAGTCGGTCTGCGGCGGCGTCGGCGCCGTCCTCGTCTTCGTCGGCGAAAACGCCGGCGCCGAGCTGGCGCCGGCAGACGCGACGTGACCTGAAACGAACCCCGTCGCCGCCGCGGTCTCTGAGGAGGCTCGGGTCGGGGCTGCGCCGTGGGCCCTTGGTAGTGCACTTGTGAACGTTCGGAGAGCTCCCCGCCCTGTTTTTGGGGGCCCCTCCTGGACCTGATTTTTTTGTGTCTGGGATCGCGTTCTCGGTCGTTAATTTGCTTTCTTCCTCCGACGGGGAGGCGGAGAAAAAGAAGGAGGTTGGCTGGGGGCACCGGCGCGGCGGGGAGCGGCGGCCTGCGTCTGGCGAGCGAGGGGGGGGGGAATGAGAAGGATGAGGCCTTCTCAGAAGGTCTCCTGAGCTTAGCAATCAAGCGCCAGCGAGCACAGCAGCAGCGCGCCGTGGGCATTGGATCGCGCGGCGTTGTCGTTGGCTGACCGTCGAGTTGTTTCCACTTGCGGTTCACGCGTCGTTGGACGGTCTTGTCAGTCTAAAGTTCTTCATGTGGGGGGGGCGTTTTTTTCATGCGTTCATTCCTGCGATGGGGAAACAAGCAATGACACAGACAAACAAAAAATCGGAGGTCCGCGCGGAGTTCTCGGATCCGCGGTGGGCCCCCCCTGGCGGTGCTGCCCCTGGCACGCCCCGCGCGCCAGGGAGGGGGGGTCCAGCGCGGATCCAAGATGTCCGCGCGAACCCTCGAGTTGTTATGTTTATGCCATTTTTCGTTTCCCTATCAGACGGCGGTGGGACGTTACTGAATCCCTCCGCCTTCCGAAGAGTAGTCCGTGTGTCTGGGGAAGGCCTGGAACACTTTTGGCAAAGCCGGTGGACAGCCGAGGCTTTTGCAACAAGGCCTTTTCCTTTTCACCTCCCCCCGTGCTCGCCGCCGACTGAACGCCCGCTCGCTCTCGTGCCCCCTCCACTTGACGGTCTGTCCACCGGGTCCATGTGGCTTTACCCGGGACCAGTCTTTCATCCTGGGTCGGTTTCTGACGGGTGGGTCGGTTTCCGAAGGTTTCGTCCTGACCCGTGGAGGGCTCCGGGGGGCCAAGGCTTGCGAACAGTGTCAGGGACCGTTTCCTCCAGATCGCTTTTCTCCTTGATGGGCCTCACGCCCAGTCGCCGACCCCCAAAAGAGGGAACCCATCCATGGTCGAGGCATGATTTGGGCCTCTTGGAGATCTTCTGCAGGCCTCGTGTGGGTTTCTTGGGGGCCTCTTCCAGCCTGTACGGTATTTCTTGGACGCCTGCAGGCGATCTCGGGGGTCATCTGGGGGCGGAGGGCTCGGAATATCAGCTCGAGGTACCTCTCCCGTTCCCCTCTTGGGGACCTGGCGGGGCCCCTTGGTGACAGTTTGGGCGCACCTTGGGCCTTCTTCTTGGAGCCCGCGTCGGCCGTCTTGGGGCTCTCTTGGGGGGCGACGTGGGCCCCTCCATGGAGCAATCCCCGGGGGCCTCTCGAGCCGCTTTTGGGCGCCGTTGTGAAGGTGCAAATTGAGAGTTCGCTCAAAATATGTGCGTTTCCCCTAGTGACTGGGAGGATGTGTGCTTCCTGGGGCCCTCCCGGGGGTCGTTTTGGAGGCCTCGTTGGCCGTCTCGAAGCCATCTTGGACCGCCGTGGGGCTGCCCAGCCGTTTCGACGCCCTCTCGGACTGTCTTGGCGCTCTGCCTGGGCTCCCTCGGGCCGCCACGGCTGCTTTTGGGAGGCTCTGGAGGCTTCAGGGGCTCGTCGACGAGGTCGTGCCCCCCCCTTAAAACTGGATTTTGGACCCCGGGGGAGGGGCACAAGGGGAGAGGGACAGCCAAACGTTTCACACATCGACGGACGACGACGACGACGACGACGACGAGGGGCGACGACGACGACGACGAGGGACGACGACGACGACGACGACGACGACGACGACGACGACGACGACGACGACGACGACGACGACGGACGACGACGACGACGACGACGGACGACGACGGACGATGACGGACGACAACGGACAACGACGGAAGACGACGACAACGACGACAACAGCGTCAACGACGACGACGACGACAGCGACGACGACGACGACGACGGCAACGACGGCAACGACGCTGATGACGACAACGACGTCGACGACGACAGCGACGACGACGACAATGACGACGACAACGACGACGACGACGACCCCCGGCAGACAGGGGTTGGTGGACGCCTTCATGGCAACAAGGGCCCGCCCTCCAGATCCGTCTGCCCGGCGACGACACCCCGTCGTCGTTGTCGTCGGCGTCGCTGTCGCCGTCGGTATCCTTGTCGCCGTCGCCGTCGCCGTCGTCGTCGTCGTCGGTATCGATGTCGCCGTCGGCGGTGCCGCTGTCGCCGTCGCCGTCGACTATACGTCGTCGTCGGCCTCGCTGCCGCCGCCGCCGTCGCCGCCGCTGCAGGCCGTGGCCGTGCGCCCGCCCGCCCGCCCGCCGCGCCCCCTGGGGCGCAGGAGGCGCGAGCCCCCCGCCGGGCGCGGCGCCTCGCCGAGCACCTCGGC